CTGGAGATGTCTAAACGGCTAAACGGCAAATTTGATGAGCACATGGTAAAATATGCTTTACTTCTTCTGATTTTTCCATTAAAGAATTAAATGGTATTTCGTCTTCTTTTAACATACTGAATAATATTTCTAGTTCTGTTTGAACTAAGTCATAATCTTGAAGATTTGCACCTTGACTGGCTGGTGGAAATAGTGAAATTGATTTTTTTACATTATCCAATGTTATATTAAGTTTATTAAATGGTTGAGAAAATGATAAATATAACGGTTCAATAGAAGAAACACACGATTTTAAATTTTCATTTGTTAGTTTTAAAATGGTATCAAGAACAATTTTAAATTCTTTTCTGTAAAATAAATTTATTGTAAATTCTGTTTGAGTTGTAACATTACAATCGAATCGTTTAGGAGCTAATTTTCTACAATGATAGTTTTGAAAATCGGCTTCAGAGTCTATTCCAAATAAGTTTGCAAACTCTTTAGCACTATTAATGAAATTGTTCATTGCATGATCATCAGAGTTGATTGACGTCAAAATTTTCATTGTGCTATCAATTGCAGTTATTGCATCAATTATAGATAAGCTTTTTGCTTTTAGAGTTTGAGTAAAATACTTTAGTTTATACATAATATTTTTCATGAAAGATATAGAAACAATAAAATCAAAAGAAAGTATTTGTTTTCGAATAGCAAGTGCTTTTGATCTTGTTCCTTTATCAAAACATTCATTTAATAATTGAATTTCATCAAGGCTTTCAACAACAGCTTCTAATGAATTCCATATGGCTTTAACGCTTTCAGCACGAGCTGTCCACCTGGTTTTTGACAAATTTCTTAGTTGTAATGAAATTTCAATTTTTGAAATTTTCTCATTAAGTAAACCAAATCTCTTATTACTTGAAGAAAAAAAGACAAACAGGTTTTCCAATGCATCAATCGTATTTCCAATTATACTACTAGTATCGCAACTATTTTTTCTAAAAATGTGTTCAACCGATGGGCTTGGCATGGTACAAATATAACTTTGTGACCAACAATTTCAAAAAGTTTAACATGCCCATGTTAAACTTTTTGAAAAAATCAGGAAAACTCCATTAAATTTTCATTTCATATTACTTGCAAAATCGTACGATTGAAAGGATATTAATTTAGGATTTAATGAATTACTTTCTAAAATGTTGACTATTTGTGATGCTGTACCCAAACCAGTTTTATCGTTTCCTTTTTCAATTTCCAAAAGTCGCTCAACAGATTTGCCTTGACTATTAACATATCGGACACATACTGATAAACAGTCCTGATGTGATATATCTGGCGTGGTATCAGCAGATACTGAATAAATGTTTGCTTCGTTTATCTCTTTTACTATTATGTTACGTGTTTCTTTAGCTAGCAGTTAAATAAATACATTTTGAGATCTTGGACCTAAATAAGTAACTTTATGTGGTCGTGATAAAGACTCATCCATCCAGCGTTTCATTAAGGGATTATGCTTAGAGAGTAACTGAACAAATTGCATAAAATTTCCTCCACTTTCGTCACCATCACCTGCTAATCCTTGTCGTGATAATGTTCTAGCAATATCAAATAATATAACTTTAATTTGTTTGTTGAAATCTTTTTCTTGTTCCAACTTAATTGCTTCTTTTCTATTTGATATGTTTAAAATTAAATCAATATGATTTTCAGTAGTCATAAATTGATAATAATCATGTAACGCTGCTTTATGAGAAGAACAAGAAAAATGTTGTTGTAATTTACCCAATTTTTTAACTCCACAGCTTTTCATTTTATGCCACTGACGAATACCAGGTTTTACCCATGCTGAATCTATATAAGATCTTCCTGGACCGTTTGAAAATAAAGAACATACAAAACATTATGCAGAATCAGTGACAATACTGTATTCTAATAATGGATATTCATTGTACCATTTAGGATTAAAACTATGCTGTTTAATGTTGTTAATTGTAGTATTAACTGGATATTTAGTTAATTTTGGCTGATGCAGCCCTAAGGAAATAAGGTATTGCCGCTGAGATGTTGAAACAACGGAATCACGACTGCCTGGATCATGATTTATTATATTATCAATAATATTGTTAATTGGTTCTAAATTTTTAGATGATTTAGAGATGTGTTCGGACAAAATATTTGCATTTTTAAAAAATTCTTTAGAATTTGATTTTATTCGACTTATGACTTGAATGCTTTCTAACAGGAATATCACTGGATTTCGTAATGCATCAGATTTAAATTTAGACAAAATGGTACCACACTCGTTTAAGTCTGTGACAATATTTTCCAACTGACCAGCACATGATAACCAATTGACTTCATCATGTTGTATGTCAACCTCTTCTATTGCCGAAAGTATTGGGGGAGATTGAATTGAATCCTCTTGAATTAAGTCCTCCTCCACTGTTTGAGAAAGACATGTTTCATGGTTCTAAAAGTATATTACAATATAACTTCTATCATATAAATATATGAAATAATATTTTAATTCTAAATCAACAAGTAACAATATGTGTTTTTATTAAAAGAAATACTAAATATAGTAAGTCGTGAGGTAATAACTCTAATTAAAAAGCATTAATAAGTTCAATTAAATAACCCCAAAATCTTAAGAAGTTATAAAATAAATGTTTTTATTACTTTAAAAACAATTTTTTTGTTTGTAAATATCCTTGTGTGTGCAATTTTTATTTAGAAAACATAATCGATCGATTGATTTGTTAAACGTTTAATTTTAACTTCTCTTTTAAATCGAAACTCATATGTTTTAAATTATTCAACAACTTTAATAGTTAGTATACTAATATATATATATTTATCGTTGAACTTAATAAAAAATTAAATCAGGTACATACCGATTCTCGTTTTCCTGTAATTTTTGAAGCTTTTGCAGCACTTTGAAAAGGATTTTCGGGAGCACCAACGTCTTTTAGATTTACTGATATCCCATTATGTACTTTTTCTTCGTGCTTTTTTTAGAAATCTTTATTAAATATACTGCCGCATTTTAAACATTCAACTTTAAATCTATTTCTCTTGCGTTTCGCACCTATATCACTCATTTTAGAAATCGTTTAATAGAAAACTAAATATTTCAAAACTCAAACTAAATATGAGCAACAAAACTTCAACTGCAACAAAAATATCAACCTATCAGAGCTTCGTTGTGGTTTTAAAAATCGCAATTTTTGATAATTTTTTGACGTCAAACTCAAATACAAAATGCACAATGGCATTAATAAATTATTAATGCCAACTTGGCATTATTAATTTCTATTATTCGAGTTGGCATTTTTTACCATTTGAGTTGACATGAATAACTTATCAAAACCAATTTGGCATTAATAAAATGCCAACTCAAAATACTAAATGTACCTGACATTCACAAATAATAGCTTTGGGGGGGGGGGGTGACACCCCCGATACTCCCCCTTCGGGTCGGCCCTGCGTTCACTTTTTATAGACATTATGAGGGTTTAAAAAATATGTTTTTATTAAGAACATAATTCAAAACTCTAACTTTATTTTTAAAACAAACCACTTTTTTAAAATTATAATTTTTAAAAGTTATAAAAAGTTAAAAATACATAGTATTAGGATAATAAGGAAATTTAAAGTTTTACAGTAATTTTACTACACCCCTGTTAATCATTCTAAAACTAGTACGCTACAATGACAGAAATTAGATAACTATCAAAACAGCATTATACTTTGTATAACATTGAAAAGACTTGGACGCTTTTAACTGATACAAGGCATGGTAGATATGATGTATAAATACACGCTGTAGATATAATAAACAGATGTACACGCCGTTAGTTTTTTGTATTTCCTACTTTACTTTTATAAATTTCTGAAATATCGAATATAAAAATGTTTTTTGTTTTATAGGTGATTTATTGAAATTGTATCATCACAGGATGTTAAATTTATTGAAGCTAAAATTGACCTTATTTAAAGTTGACCTTAATCAGGATAAATAAATTGATTTTTAGTTAATAAATCTGATGCATTTTTTCCTTTATTTAATTCGATTAGTTTTTTTAGATTAATCAGATGACGTGTTTATTCAATATAGTCATACAATTAAAAACTATTAAAAACGTTTGTGCTTTTTTAATTTGTTAATAAATATGTAAATAAAAATTTCATTTTTTTTTTTTTACAAAGCTATTACACATTTTTTTAAAACCACTATTCGAAATGATTTGTATTTTTTCTTCAAGTTATGTAAATTATATCAAATTTTACAGATTTACTTTTACGAAGTGCTTTGTGTGGCTTAAAATCGAAGTGCTTTGTGTGGCTTAAAATCCTTTTGCTTATAAACTTAATTTTTTTTTTTATGTGCCTGTAATTAATTTATTATTGTTCACACTTTTACTTTCAAAAATATTCCATCAAAAATATTGTTATAATTGCAACTTACAAACCTGAACTGACTCATGATAGATTTTTCTAGAACAAATGTACACGTTAGCGCATCAAGTAGGAAAACTTTAATCAGTTTTAAGCAAAAATTGTTAAAAATTGTTTTTGTGAGTAAAAAAGAGAAAACCATCTCGAGTTTCATTATGTACTCATAATACAATATTTTTCTAATAGGAAGTCTTCTTAACTTTATGAATAGTAAAATATAATGAATTTGAAAATATAGAATCGTTAACAATAAAATGTAGCTAGCAGCACTAATCTTTCTTAGTAAAGAAGATAAACCATGAGTTTTAGTATTTCTTTCATTTAATCAGAGGGGACCAGCTACATTATGGAGTCCAGAGTGGACATAAAAATAAACTAAAAACAGACAAAAACACAGCAACAATAACTAGGTATACCAGGTTTTGAATTAAGTAGTTTTTCTCTGTTTTCTATTTTATGATATAAAGCTAACAACTTTTGTGGGTTTAATTTATTCTATCAAAAAAGAGCAACTATCTACATCAGTTCTACACCACTAACTACAAATATAATGAAGGATTTAATATTATCAAACACATAATTTGTTGCATGGGTTTATAGAACCATAGAAATGCAGATATAAAAAAATTTTCTTCAAATTTGAATTGACCAAACCCGCTTATAAAAGTGATTCAAGTCAAATCATCAAGTAAAATTGTAGTAGAACAAATAATTATAAATGCTGTTATTAAAAAAAAGACGATATTTGTGTATCTTATGCACAAGATGTAATTAGACTAAATAGGACGATACATATAATGAACAATATTCAATGCTGAACGAAGTCTTCTTTGTTATCTACTCTCGTGGCGAACTATTTGACGTAATAGTGATTAATGGCCTTCAAAAGTAGATGTAAAAGTGATTCAAATCATTTAAAGTGATTTAAATTATGATCTATCTGCATATGCACAATAAACTAAGGTTTCATATGATTACAGGATGAATATCATTAAATGATCAAGTAATTTGAAAAGTAGAAATGAAAATGAACCCTACGAAAAATTTGCAGCGACAAACAACAGACATATTCAAATAGACACATTATGTTATCAGCATTCAGAGGTAATTTGGTATTTAAAAATATATTAAATTGATAAACTCTCTTTTCTATTATTTATCTTTATTATTAATTAAGTATAATATTATTAAAATAGGAGCTAATCACAAGGTCTGCCAGGATGGAAACGGTAATTTTCTTGGCGCATTGGAATTGGTGTATGAACACAACAAGATACTTGCGGATCACTTGAAAGCAGTTGCTGAAAAAGAAAAAGAAGGTGAGCGTACACAGGCCCACTATTTATCTTGGCGTTTGCAAAATGAGCTTCTCGGAGAGTGTGGGAAATTGATGAAACTGGAGGCTCTGAAAGAAATACATCAGGCTATCTACTATACTATCATAACCGATGGAATACCGGACCGATCACACAGCGAACAAATCTGCTTTGTTTTTTTGTTTCTCCGCCTCAGCGAAGAACGGCAATGGGTCAACGGTACTAATTTTTAAAACTAGAAGAGATGGAGAAGAAAGAATCCGACATTGACAATCTGATCCTTACTGTTCTTCATGAAAACAGACTCGACATAAAGAATTGTCGAGGCCAAAGTTACGATAATGGCTCAAATATGGCCGGAACCTACAAAGGCGTTTAAGCCTTGATTAAACAGAAAAATTTACAAGCAGTTTATATTCCGTGTGCCGCTCATAGCTTCAATTTATGCGGGGTTCATGCGGTAAAATCTTCTGTTCCAGCCAAGTCATACTTTGGAAATGTCAAGCTTCTCTACAATGTTTTCAGCAAAAGCCCAGCACGCACGAAAATTCTTTAGGACCTTGCTGGCCTTTCTTTACATCAAACTTTACTGACAAGATGAAGCGCTAGAATTTAATGTATTAAGCCACTGTCAAAGAGACCGAGAGAGAACATCGAAGCGTTGAATAAATTGAATGAAATGGATCTCACTGCTGACGTTTTAAATGAAGTACGTTCTCTGTTCAAGTGGATCAAGTCATTCGAGTTCATCGAATGACTTGATCCACTTTTACTACTTTCACTTGAATCATTTTCACTACCTTCTGGTTCAAAACAGGTTATTTAAAAAAAAAACCCAATAAAATCAACAAAAATTGGTTAAAAATGATTTTGATCTTTACAGTGGAAATTTAAACAGTTAATTCAAAACGTTTTGTAGGATTAGCATTATCCTAACAAACTTAAAGTCTACAAACAAAAAATTGTATAAAAGCTTTAACTGTTGTGACGTTCTCTTAATTAATTGACTAAAAATCACTAAATAAAGTATTATTTTTAAGGTTTATGGTTGTTACTAAGTATTTTTTAATTGCACTCGAACTATTTTTACAATTCTTTGATTTTATTACTAATTAACTAAGGAAAACTTTAATGTTTCATTAATAGACTATTTTGTTATATCACTGCAATAACATGCTTGCAGCAACTTATGAGATAAGTTTATATTGTTATTTTGCATTTTAAATCCCCTCGAATTAAACACAAAAAATCGTATAACCTATCCTCGCAGTCGGAAATACGTCATAACATCTACCATTTTAGTTGAGGGAAAATAAAATTTCGTTATGAAACAAAAACAATGGCATAACATAAAAGTCTTTAAAATGCACAAGGGTTGTTGTGTCTTTAGGTGATTTTTGATATATATATATATATATATATATATATATATATATATATATATATATATATATATATATATATATATATATATATATATATATATATATATATATATATATATATGTTTTGTAAGATGATTTTGTTATTTTCAGTCAACTCTGGTGACTAAGATGGTTTTGTTGTTTTAAACGCACAAGCCAGACAACTTGTGTTTTCAAAACAACAAAACTAGAGCCAAATGTCTTGTGAAAAACTTCCTGCATCTAGCCAAAGCCAAAATATTTATAAGCATCTAATGCTTCATAATTACCTATAGTCTCAAAAAAAAAAAACATTATAAGACTTTTTAATAAATTATTATAAACGTCATGGTATTGAACTCATGTCCATTCAGTTTGATCATCTTTCCAAGTATTTGCAAGGAACTTGTGTAGACATCGGTTGATTCCAAGGATTGCAAATTTATTTATATACCTTTCTGCGGCGTTAAAATCTAATTTTTCAAAGACTTCGTAAACTGATATTTCTTTTTTTAAACTCTTTAAACCACTTTTTCTCTTTTTTAAGCTCTTTAAATCACAATTGTCCTGCTTTATTAACTCAAGTAATCATTTGTTTTTCCCCATCCAAGATGGTAGCAACTTGCGCTACTGTTATTTTGCATAACCACGTGACTTTCCGACTGCGAGGATACCCAGTTTACCTTACCCAGTTTAGTTTACCCAGCCCAATCAATATAGTGTGAACACAAAATTAGATCAGTGAAAAAAAAATGACGCAAAAACACTTTAAATCAATGGTGCAAACGCATTTTTTGAGAAACAACTTTCAAAATGTGTCAAAACGTAGAAAGTAATGCGTTTTACTAAAAAAATAAAAAATATTGCCATAATTCATTTTTTTTCAAAAATAAATGCAAATTTCCAATTTAGGCGCTGTTCCAATTTCGGCAACTTTCTCCTATACTTAGTTATAGTTAAACAAATAGACAGTTTAACTACGTTTAACCCTTCAGTTAGTTTTAGAAGTTCTTTGTTGACTTTTTTAAACAACGTTTTTATATTTGTTTTTATATTACGGAAATAAAATAAATTGTTTTTATATTATGAGAATAAAATAAATATGCAAAATCAACAAATAAGATAAAAACTAATATGTTAGAAGTAAATATTGAAGAAGAAAACATAAAAAATAATAAAAATTGATGCTTACAATATTTGCGGCGATCAGTAGTTTTTTTAAAAAGGCAGTTCAGATTGAAGCTACCACTACAACAACCTTCGACCATATAAACTGACATATAATATAATCAGTTTATATGGTCGAAGACAACATATAATCAGTTTATATGGTCGAAGACAACAACGAACTCGAGAGAGCTCGCCGGTCTAAATTCTATATTGTCTAAAAAAAGTCTAATTTTTTTTTTTCTAGGCCTATTAAATTTTAAAGTCGTTATTCTTCGGTATAATTTAAAACATTTTATCAAAAAATAAGTTAGCAAATAAATTCTATTATTTGGCAACGATAACCTCTTAACAAAGCGTCTTAAATATTTCCTTTCCTACCTTAAAGACATTATTTTGTTTATTTTACATCGATTGCGCGAAAAATGTTTTACATTTAAATTTGTAACATTAAATTTCAGAATTAACCGTTGTTTAATATAAGCTGATAAAATACAAACAATTAGTGTAAGCTGAAAATTATACTCGCAATATTGATTTTCGACGTCAATAACTACGTTTAAGCTAAGATTACCACTATGAACAAAGAGAGCGCACGGATTCAAATCTAAATTCTACTAATATAATAAAAAATATAGCAATTCCTGCATATTTAAATTTTCTTGTGCTGCTATCTTATTTTACATTTTCCAACGGTTAAAAGAGGTCATTTTCACAACTGCATTTTACAATGCATTAATCATTAATCCATGCGTTTAATCACATTTAATTATTAATGCATTAAAAACATTAAAAAGAACACGGAACTTTATAGTTTAGGCATTTTTCACACTCATTCGGCTTAAGCTAAATATAGCAAATGTCTATTGAATCAAATTTCAATCTTTAAAATTAAAATTATTTTAATTTTTAAGTATATATATATATTTATATATATATATATATATATATATATATATATATATATATATATATATATATATATATATATATATATATATATATATATATATATATATATATATATATATATATATATGAATTTGTATATATTTATATAAAATATAAATAAATACATACATATTCTTATATATACATGTATATATGTATATATATATATATATATATATATATATATATATATATATATATATATATATATATATATATGTATATATATATATATATATATATATATGTATATATATATATATATATATATATATATATATATATATATATATATATATATATATATATATGTATATATATAAATATATATATATATATATATATATATATATATATATATATATATATATATATATATATATATATATATATATTTATATACATATGCATGTATATAGAAAATGCCTTTAGTCAACAATCTCAATGATAAAAATACACTAGTTCATATGGAGCGTAGCAGCAGTTTTGATGGTGACATGATCTATAAAGAGGAACATGGTTCAAATGAAAGTCTTTTAGCCAATTATCTTGAACCACCTCCAATACCAATTTATAAAGTAAATGGGCATTATTGTGCAACTGAAGAAACTAGCTTGCATTGTCACACTAAAGATACAGCTAAACAACATGCAACACGTTTAGCTCAGCGTAAACTAATTGTTGCTAGCATTGTGTGTTTACTTTTTATGATTGGTGAATTTATTGGTAAGAATTTTATATTATATATATATATATATATATATATATATATATATATATATATATATATATATATATATATATATATATATATATATATATATATATATATGTATATATATATGTATATATATATATATATACATAACACGTTCTATTTCTTCTAACTAATTTATCCTAAAAATGATTTTTATCCTAATTTATCCCAAAGATGGGATTTAAATCTATAGATTATGGATGAAAGTTGGGTGGGTGAGGTGAGGTTAGTTTAATAATTTAAATATGAGCCATTCCTTGATATTTTGCCTGTATATTTTGTAAAGTGTAAGCATTTTGCAAAGTGTAAGCTTTATTGGCTTTGCTGATGTGGGGTTTTTTTAATGGTATTTATATCTATTATATCCAGTACTTCTTAAAACTATATTTTTATAGAGTCAAGATCCACTTTAGAATTGTATTTGTTTTATAGCATTCCAACAAGTTTTTGAGCATTTGTTTTAGGGTTTTGTCTGATTGTTTGAATTATGGCTTAACAATGCCATCGTTTAATTTTCATTGACAAGACTTATCAACAATTGTTTTAGTTATTTCTTGATAATGGACTACAGGCTTGCATAAGATTTCTTAAGTCCTGTATTTTGGTGTGATTTTCTGTCCTTCCATAACCTAAGTGATCTAATTTTCTTTGCAACTCTTGTTTTTTATAAATATATATATATATATATATTTTATAAATATATATATATATATATATATATATATATATATATATATATGTATATATACACAACCCTTGGAATTAGGGTCGGCATTCGGCAATGTTGACCTAACTGCCGACCTGCAAGTATTTTAGGTTTATAAATATATAATATATATATATATATATATATATATATATATATATATATATATATATATATATATATATATATTATATATTTATATATTTATATATACAAATAATATATTGTTGTTTTATTTTACAAAGTCAAGATACAAAGTCTCTTGTTTGTTTGAAAATGATCAATAAAATAAAAAAAAATTTTTAAAAAATACAGCTTTGTGATGAAGCTTTAAGTTTCATGCCTTTTGGCAATCTTTAGCCACATTTTATTTTTTAAATAAAAAAAAACCATTGAAAAATACAAAATACAGAAATTAACAGAAAAAACAATAACAAAGTAATGGAATGAGTTCTGACGTCAAAACAATCAATTTTTAATTAGAAAATTCCTTAATCACCTCACAGTTTGAAAATTTTGGACCCTAATACCAAAAACAACTCCTATGAAAACCCTTTTGAGGGGTGTTAGTACATATCATAGAGATCTCATAACAAGTAATTTTGAAATCCGGGATTACCGTCCACAAGACTTACTCAACATTGAAGTTTTTGCTTTTAAATTGCAAAACCTGAAAAATTGCAAAATTCCTCCAAAAAGATTTGGCTGCCCTAAATTACCATATTATGAAGTAAAAAGGTAACAAATGATAAAAATACATCTTAAAACATTTATTTATTACAAAATAAATACATTCTAAAGATAAACTAATAAATTCTCAAAAATGCAACATGTTTATTGATGGTCAGTGCCTCATAGCAAGCTACTCTACATTTTCTTGCTGTTATAATCAATGACACACTTCAGGAGTTGACTGGAGTAGTCTGGATGGGTGTTCAATCTTTTGTATCGCTCCCAATGCTTGCCAAAATCTGAATGCAGTGCTTCAGTGGCTTGTTCACTGTATAAACCAAGGCTTTTCTTTTTCAGCTTGATGAACTGTGTCACATGGTGGAAAACAGTGTGAACTTTTGGAGTAACATAGATTCCCAAACTCATGTAACTGTTTTTGAAGATGGTGATTTTTTCCTCATAGTTGGGATGTAAAGTTTTTCCAAAGCATGCAGAGACAACTTTGTGAAAGTCTTTGAATGTCTGAATGAATTGAGATGGCTCAGAAGTGCTCTCATTTTCAGCCATTTCAGCCAATTTGTCAATTTTCCTCAGAAGCTTCATGCAGTCATTGCCATTGAAGTGCCCTCCATGAAAAGGCTGAATCTTGATGTGCAATGAAGTTGGCCATTCTGTGGCCTTTGGTCATTTTTGCACTAAGCATTTGAACAGATGGTTGACCACCCCTAGCAGAAGATGAAGCTCCATAGGTGGGATGAACTCCAAAATCAGTGCTTGATCAGGACCAAAGATTAAAGGACTGTGGACAGCATTTTGGAACTTCTTGGATCTTCTTACATCTCCGCCACTACCCACAAAGCTTTGATGTTGAGCTCTTATAGCTCCAAAGGATCGGGGATTTTCACACAGAAGAAGTTTTGAAGACTCAATATCACACCAACAGCAAGGGTGCTTGCTGCTATGAGACTGGATGCCACAAATAATGTTTGCAAGTTTCATATCGCAAGAAATTACTGCAGCTTCTGATGAGATTAGTTCTTGAAGCTTGATGAGTCGAAAAATCTCTTGCACATTCCAATAATTTTCAGGAGTGTCATCAGCAACAGCCACAAGAAATTGCTTTTTCACACTAGTTTGCTTTGAGACTTGTGTCGAGAGTTTGGCAGATTTTTGGACAGGACTGTGGGGCTCTAGGTTATTTTCTTCCTCATCAATAACTCCAATGCTCACTTTTAAGAATGACCCTCCTTATGACCATCAATACCTATCTTTGCAAAGGCAGTCTTTGAGGAGCCAATTTCTTCTTCAATCCTGTCTTTCAAGCCCTTAATGCTTTTGCAATGAACTACAACCCTGTTTTCTCCAGAATCTGAAATCTTCAAACTGCTGACAGTAAAAAAAATCCTGCAATTTTTGTCCAGACTCAGCAAACTTTTTTTGAAAGTTTGGTTCAACTTATCTTGTTGGGCTGATATGATTGATGAATAATCCAAGTTTCCTCATTCCGTTGTTAGACAATGGTGTATTCTGTTGAATTTGAACCATATCCCCTGTTGAAAGTCTGGAAGGAAAAAGCTTGAGCAACAACACCACCTAAAAAAACGAAATCTATTAGCATTCTCTAAAGAAGAATGTGGTAAGTATACATTTTACCTTTTCTGATTGGAAGATGCATCCCACTCGATTGACTAAGTTGAATTGTTCCTCCAGGAGATGCTTCCTTGGATGCAACAATGGAAGATGCAACTTGTTCAGCTCCTTTAGGATCTGACAATGCCAGTTGCTTCAAGTTTTCATGGCGTGAACCAATTGTGCAATGATGAGAAAGGCCTCGTGAGAGAACATACAAACATTTTGTACAACGTTTTTCTGAACTTTTAGATGGCTGACTGGTTGTTGCAGGCTGGTCTTTTTGCTCAAGTGGGCAAGTTTCTTTACCTTTGAGCCTCCCAATATGGCAGATCAAACAATCACAGGTGTTTGAACTTTGAGTTGTCGGTTTTATTTGGATGTCTTCAAACCTGTACAATCTTGGTTTACACATCTTAGGATCCCCATCTTGAAGCTTTTTCAGTTTAAAACGACATGTCTGATATGAGGCAAGAGGAACTCTCCAGTCATTGAAGCTCAGATCATTCTTGATGAGGCGCTGAATCCTTTGCTTTAAAAAGTCTGTCAGAACTTTGTCGCCTTTCTCCATGCAGATAATGCATACAGATTTTCGACAATCCTCATGGGTTTTTGCTGAATTGGGCATTTTTGGTGCACATTCTACGAATTTTTCTTCTAAACTATGATATTTATGCAGCTCTTTCCCGGAAAACAATCGCTGTAATTTTGTTAACATTATTTTGGTGATAAGAATTTAAAAAAATCACACTGGTGTTTTAAAATACACCAAATATCATCAAGTAACACTTTCTTAACCTTTTGATACTTGTTATATTTAGAAAAGTTGTGTAAACTTGTGTCAGAAAATTTTTTCAGTAAAAGTCACAGCGTTTCATTAAGATAAAACTAATAAAGTCAAATAAGTCTTGCGGACGGTAATCCCTGATTTCAAAATTACTTGTTATGAGATCCCTATGATATGTACTAACACCCCTCAAAAGGGTTTTCATAGAAGTTGTTTTTGGTATTAGGGTCCAAAATTTTCAAACTGTGACCTGTGTTGAATAGGGTGAAGAAAAACTTGTTTCGATGCACTTGATTATCATTTCACTTTTTTTGTTTAGCAGATTTTGATTTTTGGAAAATTTTCATATTTTTCATTTATGCATAGTTTGCAGGACTGCGTGGTTGGGTTGTAAGCATTGCACTGCCTAATTATTTTCCATTTAACAACTTGATTTAAATTTGCATCTTTTAATTTCCAAAATACTTTTAATAGTTCATTTTTGTAGTTTAGAATGTTAAATGATTTTATATGGTTGGCACATCTAATTTTGAATGGTGTTTCGCTTATACAGATGTAGAATTTGTTGACAGAAGTGTTAGTAGGATTATTGGAACTTATATTAGCGTAGTATAAAGTGTTTTTTGTTAAGCATTGGTTTAATAAAGGGCAGGTATTTTTATTATGGAAGTTGCAGTTGGTTTTAGGTGAAATTTTTCTGTTGTTCATTATTTGTTGTGTGCATTTAAAATAGATTTCATATTCCGCATATAGCTATAACTTTTTTATAATATTTTAGTGGTGTTTCTGTTGAAAATATTCTAGAGTTTGTGATTTATTGGGAAATGTTTGTTGACTAAGGTTTAAAAAATTATTCTACATTTGTGCTAACATATTTGCTGAAAGGAGGGTTAAACCAAATGAGGTTGTGTTTATGGTTTTTGATATGAGGTAAATTTAAATTAGGATGGTATGAAAGTTTGTGATTAAAACCGGGCCTTAACGGTACTTTCCTTACTTTTTTGAGAGCCTAATAGGCTCTCAACCAGAAGTATAATGGCAAAATAGTATATATTTTTGATAACTTATTTTCTAATGTTTATCTATAATATGAACACAACTTGTTTCAGCACTTGGGGATCTCTTTAAGAAAAATCGATGCATTTTTAAATGAAATTGGAAATAACTAACATTTA